GCCCCTTGAAAAAAGGCCCAAGGAATGTGTAGTCCAAAGTGTTTGCGGCTCCCCTGAAGGATGGTTTCGGAGGCACCGAGGTGCGCAGATGAAGGGTCGGGGGGTTAGGCTTCAGGGGTTTATGGGCCAGGGTGGTTGGAGTTTTGGGGTTTTGGGGGCTTTGAGTTTACAGGTTTACGGATTCAGGGTTTGGGATGTCAGGCTCCACACTTAACACTTGGATTGTACACTTGTGTCCTGCGGATGTTCTTTTGCACTCGGCAAGACACCTCATGCCTCATGCAACGGTGATTTGCACGTCGAAGTCCGTCGAAGTAGATTCCAAAGGGAGTGCATCACGGTGTTGCTAGCCCCGGAGCTCACATCCTGTAATTCCTCCTGCGCTTGTAATCCATCTCGCAACTAATCCATCTCGCAACCAGCTTAATGGAACAACCCTTCTGCGCCAACATCCCACGCCGAAGTCGCAAGCACAATCCAAACCAAAGCACCTCCCCTACACAACACCAAGCCCCAAAGCACAAACAGAATCCACACCGACCTTACTCCAGACCTTGCATCCAGAACCTCTGCACAAATGTAACCCAGTTCTCAATCAGCCTGATACAACCACCTTTCCAAAGCCACAAAACACAAAGCGCCCCTTAACTCGGGTGGTACTTCACGGAAGCCTGAAACTGAACATACCCAGAGCCCGAAAGCCAAGACTGCAGACAGGCTCTCACCCTGCATGCTTTGGTGCGGCTACTCCGGAGTGGGGGCACAGATGCGCCGGCTGCCTTCTTCGTGTGCTTCGGCTTCGGCGTAGGGGTGGCATGCTCAAAGGTGGGCCATGGTGGGCCTACATTTTTGCACATATATCTTAGCTTTGTTTCCCCTTTTTTACCCTAGAAGCGGGGCGACCTTTATAGTGGGTTACTGCTCCTTCAACCCCTAAACCCAATGGTACTCATGATTGTTGTCTAACCCAAGATGGATGGAGGACCCAAAGCCTTGTATCCGCAGCCCAGTAGCAGGCCGTAACAGGTTACGGGGCTCCTGTAGGGTACTATACCCATAGGCCCCTAAGTAGTTCCTTTTTTGTGGCTTATATGTAGAATCCTATAAGGTAATCCCCAAAAGGAACTACTTAGGGGCCTATGGGTAGGGTTCCCTTACTTCACAGCTTCCAGGTTCCTGTCCAACTGCAGATCGGACACGCCTCTTGCACTGTTGGCTCTCTGCAGGCTTTTGTTTGGGCAGCACTTTGGTGCTTTAGCCCGAGGGTGTGCAGGTTCATGGCTTCAGCAAACTCTTCTAAAGTACCTCAGTGTAAACTCTTTCAGCTTTAGGGATTTACAATTTTCGTGTGAAGGCGCTTGCTTCAATGGGTTCTGAAGGTTGGAAGCTTCTGCCAGGGGGTGCGCCGTGGTTGGGGTTTTGGGATTTGGGGATTTGTGTTTTGGCTTTGGGGGGGCGCAGCATTTGTGCCCTCGTGCATCAATGGTGTCTCTGCTTTTCACTCCACCCTGATGTGGATGGCCGCAGAGCCAATGGGTTCCCGTAGCCAAGGCTTGCTGCAGCGTTCTACTCCGCGGGCGTGCAGCACATCGTGTAGCTCGGCCCCGGCATTTCTACATACATAGAGGTCCTGTCTTTGGGTTGCCCTACCTACTGTCTAGACCCCAAACCAACAATGGGTAGGAGCGACACTTCAAAGGTACACGAATCGAGCTGTCACCGACCACTGCGCCAGCCGCTTTGCCAAGAGCCCCTTGGTCCTTGGTTCTAACGGATTCTAACGGAAGACCTGCCTTTCCCCATCAGGAGCAACGTGGCCGACCTCGGGTAGGTAGAGCACAAAAGGGTCTAGCGTGATGTCTGAACATGAGAAGACAGCATAAGGTGCGTAGAGAATCAGGCCGGTGCACTTCGAGGACTTTGACCGATCCCTAAATCCTCCACCCGCAACCCTGAGTCTCATGCCCTGGGCAAGTCGAACACACAAGAAGGATGAGCGCAGAGACAGAGAGAGAAAGAGAGAGGCAGGCCTGAGGGGACTCGCTCCGTATAAGCCTGCCAGAAGAAGAATCAGAGAGAGAGAGAGAGAGTCCGGAGGAATCCAGAAAGTAAGTTGAACGACAGAGAGCGCGAGACAGACCCAGACCTTAATCGATGAGTCCGCAGCTATAGACCTAACATCCCCGAGACCATAGACATAACTAAGCTCCCAGCCAGAGGATCCCTGTCTGCGAGGTTTTTATCTCGCCCTGGCATGCCGGCGCTCTCTGCGAAATGCTTTCCGCATCGCCCTGTCGGAGGCAGCTGAGATGTTTGGTAAGTCTGCTCAGTGATTGGTCGTTTTCAGAAATTCGGGGTTACGGGATGTTATAATGAGGTTTAGGGCTGCACTCAGGGCAGCTCTGCCTTTTTCAGTAGCCGTGCCTACTACGGTTGATGGTATAAATCCTGCATTACCTGAAGGACCCTAACCTATAGGAACTATGGTATATTCCTTATTATGGGTAACGCAGGATTTAGATCATCAACAGTACCTCTACCCCTAACTGCACTAATACAGGGTTCCTTCCTATAGTTGTAGTATCCCAAGCGTTATGCTTATTAAGCCCCTTAAACAAACCCCCCCCATCATACCCCTATTCTAGAAACCCCCTCTGGGCCCTTATGTTAGGTAATAGAGTCATCGTATGACATACCCCGAAACCAGATTCTAGTTGTTACCCATGGGCCCCTAAGTAATTCCTTTTTGTGGTTTATACTTAGATTCCTATAAGGTAATCCCAAAAAGGAGCTACTCAGGGGCCCATAGTCTCCATTGTAGTTCCTTTTGGGGGTTACCCTTTAGGATCCTTAATATAGATGTGGTTAAACCAAAAAAGGAAGTACAATGGAGACTCTCGGTAAACCCTACACCCTAAACCCTAAACCCTAAACTAGCTAGTATAGGTAATTATTAAGGCCCCTATAGGTAGTTGTTAAGGCCCCCTTGGCTTTATTTTTAGAATCCTATAAGGTAATCCCAAAAAGGAACTACTTAGGGGCCTATGGGTAACCTTGTACAGCCTATGAGCCCCAACGCCTAATCCCGAAACCCCAAACCCTAAACCCCAAAAGCCCAGACCCGAAGCCAGATTCTAGTTGTTACCCATAGGTCCCTAAGTAGTTCCTTTTGGGGATTGCCTTATAGGATTCTAAACATAAACCAGATTGCGGATTGCCTTATAGGATTCGAAACATAAACCATAAGATGGAATTACTTACGGGCCTATAGGTAGTCGTTAAGGCCCCCTTGGCTTTAGGTCGAAGCCGACCTGGAGGGAGGCGACTCTGGATTTCGCCTCTTCTCGAGCGGCGATGTCCTGCTGCAGGTGCGATTTTCGGGCTTTGGGGCTTTAGGGCTTGGGGCTTAGGGTTTGCAAGGTTTAGGGTTTAGGATTATGGGTTTAGGGTTTAGGATTATGGGTAGCGGGTTACAGGATTCTGGGAGAGGGCTGTTTGAGCTTCCAGCTTTGGGAAGATAGGGTCAACAGGGCCATATTGTAGACAAGCGTCTTCTGATTTTGACTGCTGTCGCTGTAATCTTCGGCACGTGAAATTCTCCCCGTCTCAATCGCGGTGGTGGTTCTTCTTCGGAAGAAGATAAAGGCATGATGGTGGTGGCAGTAGTGGTATGGTCACATGTCGCAGACGATCCTGAGATAGTTTTCAACGAGCAGCAGGTTCCTGAAGTGGCTCACGCAGATCTATCCCCGAAGGCCGCCGTCGTGCAGGATTTGGTGAGTTTTTTTTTCGGGCGTGGTTGGAACTGTTCGGGGTTTGGGCCAAAGCCTCAGGGTAAGAGGGGAGGGTTTAAATGTTGTTCTTGGGCTTCGCATGCATCTGAAGATTTGGGACTTTGCTGGAGGGGTTGAGACCTGGATCTTCGATGTCCACAAGACCTCGGAAGTATTGCTAGTATCAGATTTGGCTTATGAGCTGTCCTGTCGTGTTGCTCCCGTTGTCCTCCAACCCGCTCTGTTATAACTGCAGTTTCCCACTGGTCAGCTTCTTCATGTACATGGTTCGATGACAGTGCTCGTGTCGGCGACGACATCGGTGATGACGATGACGACCTTATTGGCCGTCACTATGATTGCAGTCATGGCCTCTGCGTACATCGTGCAGATCTCCGTGCTCTCCTTTCCATGGTTTTTTCTCTGTTCCCGTTAGATTGAGGGGTCGAAAGCCACAAGCCCCCGCCAGAACCCTAAATCGGGGACTTCTAAGGCTTCAAATTTGTAGTCACCCTTTCGGTGAGCAGAAGTTGCACACTCCAAACCTCAAAACAAAAGACCCAAGCCCTAAACGGCCCGGAACATTTACAAGGGTGCTCCTCGCGTTCTAGGGAATCAAGCACGGCAGGCCTATGAAAACCTTCCTGGCCCCGTGGAAGATTTTGTTGGCCGCGAGGAGATTTGTAGGGATAGGATTCTAAATCCTTTGTGTGCACAGGGTTGGATTCCGGGTTTTGGGGCTCAAATAGGGGATGACTGCGGTAGGGTATGTAGGGGTGCAAATGGGGGAGGCGCCCCCACAAGAAGGTTATCGACCCGCCGCATGGTGACGTACTGAACCCGGCAAGAGTCTTGCATTAGGCCTTATCTGCAGCCCTTCATTTGGAACTTGTGGACAGCTTGCCGCACGTGAAGGTATTCCTCAGAGGTTCTGTGGTCCAGATCTGTGGGGTGACGGGTTTCTGGCTGAGGCTTCATTCGGGATTTCGGGGGTTTTGCTTTGCTCCGTCAGTGTCTTGGATTGATGGTTGCAGGGGCTTGAGGTTTTGCGTCTCCAGGCCGGGCAATGGGCTCCTGGGAGAACCCGAGACTCGAAACACAGGATCTTTCCTCAGGATCGAATGGCAAATCGAAATCTTTGCGTCTAAGAAGCCTCTGAACTTTCAATGTGCAGCCCGCCGAAGAACTACCAGGGTTACCAGGGCATTTCCTAGCTGTGAGGAGATAATGCTCTCCGTGCTTCAGCACCTCGCGCACCGCAGACGGCTCAGTTCTGCCAGGGGAAGTCGTTTATATGCCATGGGGTGCGCAGTTTAAAGATGGTCTGGAGGTTTCTATATATAGACTGGTCCGGAATCACACTGGGGTTGGATAAGGATGTGCAGGTTTTGGACGCTCGAAGTTCTCAAGTTATTTATGATTCATCTGAAGTCATACACCAAATAAGCCTGTTCAGTGCTTTTTTGCTTCCCAGTCGCCACGAGTTCCCAGTTCACTTCTCCGTGCCACATTGAACTTTATACCCGAAGCCGTGGACTAATTAGCACCGATGCCCGAGACCAATGCAGACGAACGTGAACACCACCGATAAGGCGCATCAGCCTGCAAAGAACGTGCATACTCCTTGTGCTCTTCAATGCAAACGAGCTGGGAAAAATCAGTGAGACCCCTTGTGTATCAGACATTCGCATATTGACTCTAGTCTCACGGCTCTTCAGTCCTCCTCCTCTGCTGTTTTATGTTGGTTACCATTAATACCAATATGATTGTTCTTCCCCTTCTTCTGATTTGTATGATTCGTATTACTGCTGCTTTCTTCTCATGTTCGCCACTAAGAGAAATGTCTCTCCCACATCGCAGAGCTGTGGAGTTTGGGGTTTCCTCTGTCTTTACCTGCCAAATGACCCAGGCAGAGTCGTCGTTCTACACTGCCCCCGCAACTTGGGTGATACAGATAAGTGCCGGGCTCTAAGATTCTTAGATCCTGAACTGTAGTACCCTTTCGTCAGCAGCCTACCTTATGGTTAACGGTCCTCTAAACAGACAATAGTTAGGCAATTCACCAACAGTGTAACCGTTCATGGTGCCAGTCGTCGGCATCACTTACTTGGAATTGCAGTGAAAGAAACTCCTCACGAAGCCTCAGAGATGACTTTAAGCACAGTTCGGGGCTTTGCCACTAGACTCGGCGACTCATTCAGCTCATGATCGCAGCTATGTATCACTTGTAGTGGTCATCGTGCAAGCAGGTTCGGAGTGCCTCTCGGAATGGTGGGGTAATCGCAGCAGGGGGTGGTGCAAGGAGTGACCGTGAAGACGGTGGTAGCACAACAGGAGCAGCATCCTTCTCACAATGGTTTGCGTTCTGTAGCCTGACACTACTAGCCACAGTTTCAACGGATATGTAGCAACGGCAGCCACCGTGCCAATAGCACAGCGAGAGAAAGAGCAGCCTTAGCATGGGAGTGACAGCTATGCTAGTTCTGAATGGCGGAACAGTCGGAATAAAAGGAACAGTCGTGAGAGTCGCGGTCGACAGAAAATGCATCGGCAGAGCGGCCATGCGAAGAATCAACACTTTGACGCGCACAAAGACCAGGAAGAACACTGAGTCATCCTCAGGCCATTGCGATGTCGATGTAGGTGCTTGCAAATTTGATGCCAGTGATGTTGACACTGATGGCCGGTGATGCTCATCATGATGAAATATAACAGAGAAACATGGGGCTTGCCATTGCTATGAGGATTGCTATGGTCTTGAAACGACGATGACAACCAACAGAAAAGCTACATGAAGTTGATGTTGGGTAGCTTCATGATGACGACGACGACGATGATGATTATGATGGCAACGACGAAGACAAAGGTGATGATTATCTCTTTTGGCTGATTGCTGTTGTAAACTTTATGTTGCCGAGTGCCATGATCCTCATGATGCGTTCCACCATTTGACCCTATACATGGTAAACCAAAAGCCTTCCCTTTCGAACCCCATAGAAATTTGAGAGTGGCCTAAACTTTGGCCTAAATGTGCAATCCCGGGCCCAAGACCTCAAATCCCAAGCGAACTCCCTGAGCCGTAAACCCTTAAGCAGTAGCCTCATCAGCCCGGACTCAACCGTAATTCAGGGGCCCGGCTAATTACCAAGACCATTCCTTATTAGGGCGCCGCAATTCAAGTATGTTACCTAATTATTGAGGCCCCTGTTTTAAACTTGAACAGGCAAGCTGGGGCTCACTGCCACCTTAACGATGATCTCACGCTACATCTCTGCCCCGGGCCGCAAATTCTCTGGCAGCTGCATTTTTGGAGAGGCACAGCCGCTCGGGTGCTCTGAGGGTTTAGGGTGTAGGAATCAGGGGCTTGTTCGGTGCTGAATTCGGGACTCTTCTAGGGTGTGTTGGGTTTAGGATTTGAGGAGTCCTTTTTCCGTGATTTCCGGGCCGGTGGCTTCTTTTTTGCTGCTTCTTACACAGCCAAGGCCACTGAAGAAAGGGCTCCTCATCATCGATGATGCCGATTCGGCTTTGCTGGAGCATGCGGAAGTTTTGAAGCAGAACCTGGAGTCCGACAAGTTCTATCTGCTGGCAGGGTGCTCCAAACCGCAATGGGTGCCTCGGGAGTCGCAGATTAGTACTCGTAGCTGTAGCTTTTCGAGTTTTGGGGCTTCTCGCGGGTCTCCTTTGGAGCTGGGAGGTTAAAATAAGTGTGAACTGGGCAACTCTGAGGAACTGTTTAGTGACGTGGTCAAGCCGGTGCATGTAGAGCTGCCACCGCTATCGTTGCTGGAGTCCGCCACGCTGTTTCTGCAACGATGCCACCGGCCCCTCACACTGGAAGATGTGCTGCACCCCAACTCGACGGATGAAAGAGTTGTCAAGAAGAAGCCTCTTCCCAAAGAGCGGGCGAAGCAACTTTTAAAGCCTATGGCCTCTGTGTTTGAAGGCGACCCTCGCCTAATTCGTCAGGCTGCCGGGAAGGTCACTCCGAACCGCCCGCCCTTGCATGGAGACCTGGAGAGCCTGAAGGCAGAATGCATCGGTGCTCTCGAACCGAAAAAAGATACCCGACCAACAACGTCATGTCGGTGCTCATGGCAAGTCTGAGGGTCCTCCCAGGAATGCAGGATTGTCATAGCCAGCAGATTCCTCACTGCGGCCTTTCCGACTCCAACTGCTCAGACCTCTGCTTTCTGTGCTAAACGGCTCTCCCGACATCTCCAGGCACACGCCAGAGCGGCCCTTGTCAGAAGAGTTGCATTGAGGATGTTGCCGCTCCTTGAGCTTTCCTTTGTCTGACTGCAATCCACCTCACTGGACAAGTCCCCTGGGGTTTTGTTGGCCTAAGATGAAATGCTACCGCAAGCTCGGCTGCCACAGTGCTATTTTATTGATGTCAAGGTTGACTGTCATCATTCTTCCTCTTGTCATTGCGACTCGCATCGACTAGCAGTCGAACAGATGCTTACCAGCACTGCGCAGTTTTCACTGTCGCAGGTTCCTCAAGCAGGGGCTTGCTGGTTTTGATGTTTTAGCCAGCATTTGTGGATGGAAATAATTGCACCAGCAACAACAGCAACAGCAACGACATCAGTTACTGCTACAACAAGGCAGACAGAGCAATCCGGCATGCAGGAGTCACATCGGCTGTCGGAAGTGTGGCAACGTGAATGGCAGCAAGAATGAATATAGGTCCTTTGGGAGTGTATCTGGGTGCCATGTGGGTAGCATGCATACTCCTTTTTTTTTTTTGGGGGGGGGGNNACTCCTTTTTGCCGGGGGAGGGGTTGTTGTGTTGTGTGGGGTTTCCCGTTTGGTCGGAGAGGTATCTCCATGAGCAGAAACCCTGCATCCTCCACCGCGACCTCAAAAGCAGCAACGTCCTGCTTGCAAAGCCGCTAAGGCCAGCTTGGGAGGGACGCGCGGAGGCTTACAGGTAGTCAGGTAGTCTTTGGGGTTGGACGGGTTAGTCGCTTTAGTCTTTCAGCATCAGACAGGAAGTGAAGTAAGTCTGTTCAAGCTCTCAACTGCTGAGGTGTCGCACATCCTGCCCGTTAGTGTCCATGCATAAAGACTAGATTGAAAGCCAAATCACCCGAGTGTTTCACAGCAAGCTTGTGGCTCCTTGTGGATCACAGAGGCTTTTCTTCGATTATCGAACCGGTCAATTTGCCAGTAATAATTAGTTATTATGAATTATTATTACTTATCCTTCATTCTTACTACTTAGCAAATCATTATTGCTTATCGTTCATTATCATTTTATTGGTATTAATGATTATGAACTCTTAGTAATTTTCTTAGCTTATTAGATTTTTTTCAATGTGTTGGCGACTCCGGGGGGCTCCTCTACGAACATAGACCACGGCGGTCTCAGTCTCGGGCAACCTCCTGAATGCTGCGAATGGTGGGTTTAGGATTTAGGGTTTAGTACTTCGGCAGTTCGTGTTTTCAATTTTTTGCTCTACGATGCAAACTCGTCTCCGAAACCGCATACCTCAACCCAACATCTCAAAAGCCAAACTCTAAAGCCAAAGATGGAGCGTGGGTTGCAAATCCGAGTGATTGAAATCTGTCTCTAAGCCGACTAAGGGCTGTTCTAGGAGACGGTTGTGGGTCTTGTTGTGCCCGTGTGGATTTTGGCGAACCCAATTACCCACAAGCTGTAAATCCCATGCGGCTTCGCAGGAATTCCAGTCAAGAGCCCTTTGCGAAGGCCATGTCTTCGCAGCAAGGAGAGGGGTACCTTCAGCTTCCAATGGAATATCCGAAAAAGTAACAAAGTAACAAGGATAGTAAGACAGACCGGATCGTAACATCGGAAAGCGCTTCGACACAGAAAGACATCAACCTTGCCAGTGTCACATCCCCCGAGCCCAAATTCCCTTACACCTATCTCAGATCATGCCTAAGCCTCTAACCCTGTGCCCCGAGTAATGCTGGAGTGTGGGTCTCATGCTCGAGTGGCTCGCAGGGCTTCGGTTCCTGTCGGTGCTGTGTGGTAGTGAGCCGACCTGTTGCGGTAAATATGACCACGAGTATCATCACTTATCACCACTACCCTTTCTTGTTGCTATGCTCTCCTCATATGCAGATGTCTTTTCCCTTGTTAATCACACAAGCCTGGCGAAGGGTATTTCCATGCTGGTGATTTGGATGGCATGATGTGATGACGTTATCCAGATGGCGTGATGTGATGCTGTTGATGTGAGGTCGTCCCTTGTAGAGGTTGCATGGCATTAGTTTTCGTGAGGTTGGATGGGCCCTAGGGTTTTCGTGAGGTGGCGCCTTCACTGTTTAACGCACAATAGTGTCCTCCGGTCAGCACAACTTGTGTGTGTAAATTGCAATAATTTGGCCACGTTTGGCAGTTTGGCCATGAAGGTTGCTGATTTCGGCCTCTCGCGGGTGGATGTCCCTCGGCCAAATTTGCACTGGACTTGGGGTTTAGATCCGTAGAGGGTAAGGATTCCGGGCCTTGTGTTTCTGTTTCTGGGTTTTGGCAGGGTTTTGGCCACCAAGCAAATAGCTCAGAATGCAAAGCCAAAGCATCGGATGCCCCGGCGGATGGCACCTGACAACCATCCGAAGCCTAACTCGACGCCCAGCTTTCCTAGCCCGATGTCTTCTACCCGAACCAAGCTTCCCAACTGTCCATTTCCCAAATACATTCCAGATCAGTAGGGATGACCAAGGCTCCGTTATGCCTATGATTAAGCTTCGTACTTGGGCCCGGGCTCAGGCCCCCAAACCTTAGCTGCATCCAATCCAAGAGCCACCACAAACGAACCGTTTGGGATTTCGGGTTTCCGTTGCTCGGACCATGTAAATTAGGGTTTCGAAATCTTACCCGTTTAGACGATAGAGTACGCTTCCCTCCTGCACCGCTCGTCCTGAGATGCTTGTCTTTGCCCAAAGGCCTAAACAGAAAGCTCTCGACTGCCTTCGAAATCACGTCGCTCAGTTCCATGTAGCCGTCAAGCTTCGTTCGCTGTCGGATGCCCAATACGCTCTTCGCAACCTTTAGTAACAAAGGAACAATTCGTTGCTGCAGCCTGTCGTCTGTATTCAAGGCAGTCCAAACCCAGACCCCCAAACCAAGCCTTCTCACTTCTTAAACCCCCTAAACACAAAAAACCTAGAGACCTAAACCTCCGTCCCCTACAAACCCTAGAACTATGACCCCTCCCCCCCNNCCCCCCCCCCCCCCCCACAAACCCCTTCAAAGGCGGCGGAGACGTCGAAGCAGGGAATGACGGTGGGCGTCGGGACTTGGAGATGGATGGCACCCGAGGCAGAGACTTGCGTGGCTCAGGGTTTAGAGGCCTAACGTAGGAGCCTCATATTAATGGGTAAAAAAAGGGGTTCCCGATTGTGTGGCTTAGGGTTTAGTGTGTTTTCTCAACATGCATGGGGGGTTTGGGCGTCTGGCGTCTCCTGGGTTGCCCCGCAAATGGAGGGGCTTCACCATTACTAGCTCCTTTGAGGGTAGACTCCAAACAACCAGAAAACCCTGGGCGAGAACATCCCAAGTGCTGTTGAATTGTGAATCATGGTAATTACCTGTATTGGTCTTCGTTTATCAGCAGCTCCGATGAAAAGAGACGTCAAAGCGGATCCCGCGATTTGCAGTAGCCTCGATCTCGCTTGCAAGAGGGTCAGGTAGTTCCTGACAAAGGATCCTTTTTGTAGGATCAAGTAGGTCTCTATGCTTCCTGGATGTAGGGATCTGCCCAACTACTAAGACTAATTATATCCATACATTCCCTGCAAATTTAACTTAAGTCTACCCCGCATAGCAGGATCCCAAATGTCCCTGTGTTGCGCTGCGCTGCACGGACCGCGTGCATGCGGACGCTGGGCTCGTGTGGGGTGGTGGCAAGTGCAGTTGCCGGATGCGGAGCGTTTGCATGCATGGTGCTGCATGAAGAAACCCTAAGCCCTAAGCCCCAAAA